AAATAAAATAAAATAAAATAAATGCACGGAGCTGGTGATATTCCTTCTCTCCCTCCCTTTTTGTTCTTCATTTCGATCAGTTGAGGGCGGAGAGCTTCGAGAGCCTTCACTGATCTCCAACAGTTTTCCGTTCTTCGTCCTCCACTGCTCATTGCTGTCGGATTCTTCTCTGCCTTTGTGATATAGGAGAACCAACCAATATGTGAAATATTATCTCATGGAAAATAACTCTAATCAAAATAACTTCACAATTAAAAAAAATTCAATTCATAAGTTCATTCAAATCTTTTTAAAAATATAAAAGGTTGAACTGTTTAAATAGACTTTTAAAAACTTAAATAACAATCCTAATTAATTTAAGATTCCAAACAGATATATCATATCCTAATGAATATATTTTATACTTATTTGAATTAAAACAAAATGAATTAATTTTTCTAAACTTAAATTTAAAATAAAATAAACTAATTTTTTTAAATTGAAAAAATTAATAGTAACCAAACTAATTGAATTTATGGGCCTAAACATATTAGATTAGGCTCAATATGTTAAGAGTCTTTATTTAGTCTTCTAAAACTCTGTTTACCTTTAAGACTTCTCGATCATTTAGAACATCATTAATTAATAAATTTAGGACTTCTTTCATCCTCTTAATTTTGGATCTAGTCATTGGTTCTTCAATACCTTATAATAAATCAAAAGTATTAAATATTGAATTTTGACTTGTCTCTTGATTCCCCATCATTCCCTCCCTCCTGAAGAGGATTCATTCTCGAATCACATGTACCAAATAAAGAAATGTCTACAAGATTATGTCCTAATTTGCCTCATCCAAGTACATGCTTATACATTGGGCATTTAGTTTATTGATTTGGGTTTTCACTATTTATTATAGCATCTTAAATATAAATATCTTTACTCAAATTTTCCTCTACTTGAATGAATTGGCTCAGGATAACTTGGTTACCTGGCATGTTACTTAGAACTTTGTTGCCACATATACTATCATCTAGGACTTAATTGCCTTGTAGGATACCATCTTAGATGTCACCTAGGATGTCATCTTGGATACTAAGTAAGTTGTCACACAGGATCACATTAATCTGTCTTTTCTTTTTGATCTTTTCTTCTCTTTTTTCCTTGCCAGTGAGGGTCTATGAAGGCCGCTGATTGTTCACTGCGACTGCTAGAGGTATGAATCATTAGTTCTTTCCCTCCTCTGAACCAGCGATCGACTCCTTCTCCCTTCCCCTGTTCCACCAGTGCTGATTGACTGAGTTTGATTTCTTTATCTTTTTCCTCGTGCTGTTAGTATGTGCGCTGTGTGAGTTGCTGTACATGTAAGGGAAGGACTGCTTACTTAACTAATTTTAAATTGAAAGCTTAAGCTTTGTTGCTGTATACGAAAATCATGATATATATATATATATATATATATGTTATTTACATTGATTCTTGGCAAAGGATAATTTGAGAAATATAGTTGTTCAGTGTTGGTGTTTGTAATATATATTTATATGTATAAGAAGATCATATTCTAATAACACAATTAGTTTGGCTAAGAAAATAGAGATTTTGGAGGCATAAATGAGGATGCATGGACAAGTTTATTCAACTTGTAGAAAGTTTATTAAAATTTTATTATATTTAATAAGAATTCCAGAATAAGAGAAGCGTGATTGAAGTTGTAAGAAAAGAATTTTAAGAATTTGGTGATATATAAATATCTTATTTATTATTTGAATTTATTTATGCAGTTATTCTCATTATATTTTACTTTTTCTAAAAGTATTACATATGCATTAGCGTGGATCGGAAAAATTATTGATGAAAGTGTCATTTATGCCTTACAAATTAAAAGATAATTTGAACTATAAAGACTTTTAGACTCTATGCATGCTAGAAATGTTTTATAGGACTAAATATAGAATGGTGATTGCTAATAATAGTTTTGTTAGCCCTTGACACCATAGCACACATAGCTAGCAAGGTACATTAGAGATGTTAGTCTCGTGTGTTGGTCAACATATGTGGAAGTGATGATGTAGTTTTGTGGATATAATCCATGCTATTATTCATCGGCTTTATGTTTATGCTTGCTTTTCGTGGTTTTTTGTTGTGTTGGAATGTTATTTAACCACGTGAATTGTGTGTTCATACCTGATATTTATTCTATTGAAATCCTAATAAAGAATATGCTTTTAAGTTATGTTTTCACTTCAAAAAGATAAATTGTATTTTTATAAATTTTAAATAATACAACAACAACAATAACAACAACAAGCCTTTATCCCACTAGGTGGGGTCGGCTACATGAATTGCAAGACGCCATTGTGCTCTATCAAATTTTAAATAATACTAATATATTTTTATTTTATATTGTATTTATGATTTTTCATCTCTTTACTATTATTGTTATCAAAGTTAAAAGACTGATGATAAACTATATTGTTAATTGACTATTACCATTGGCAATGATATCTATCTATTTATTTCTAATCTATATGTGCACGCTCTTATAATTACTGTTTTTATTATTATTAATACTTGGGAACATTATTTATTAAAAGAATTTTGATATTCAAATAGTAGAAGTGAACATGCTTTTTAATAAACCTTGTGAAATTTTTTGAGACAAGAAGCATTTTGTTACTCTGATTACCTTGTGAATAAATGTAAATATTAAAGTATTTTGTTTTTGAATTAGAATTGCCCCACAAATTCTATATGCAAGATCCTTATTTTAAGTATTTTGGTTTACATGTGCATTTGTGCTGTCAGAGTAGAGCTCTAAATACTATTTGAGTATTCTTTTTGACATATTGTAAAGATTTCAGGAAGTCTAACTTATATGAGAGACTATCGAAATTCTACAGTAAATTCAAATATTTTGCTTATATTAGCAATTGCTTAATATAAATGATGATTGCATGATAAAATTATAATTAATATATTAGATATTATATGGATTTAGGCTTATAAAATATTACTTTTTTTATATTACAGCCGCTCACATTTTAAATGTTTGGGGTGTGACAAAAAATCACATATGCTAAGCTTTGATTGGACACTTGGTTCTAATATATTTAAACATATGGACCTAAGTTTTATTTACTTAACACATTTTTTTATTCATAAAATTGTAAAATTATTATTATTATTAAGCATATAAAAAGTCGGGAGACATAGATACGCAACATAACATTTACATCTCGAATTAGGATCTAATTTTTTTTTTTTTTAATAGAACTCACTCTTCTCTCCTCTCCCTCGCTGAGGGTACGGAGGAGATCTTCAAGCGCTTCTGAGAGACTGAGTCATCATAGCTGTGAACTCGTCCATATCAACCATGCCATCTCCATCTCTATCCACTGCTCTCACCATTCTTCTGCACTCCTCCATACTGCAACCCTCTCCCAGCCTCCTCAACATCTCCTGAATCTCTTCTGCGCTTATCTTCCCATCTCCATTCCTGTCAAACGTCCTAAATGCGCTCTGTATGTCCATGGTCCTTACCCCTCCTCCCTTCTTCTGTGCCTCCATGAACTCCTTGAAGTTGATGAATCCGTCGCCGTCCAGATCCGCCACCGCAAAGATCGACGGCACTTCGTGGATCATATTCCCCATCCCCAGCGCTCTCAGCGTCGCCTTGTACTCCTGCTGAGAGATCTTCCCGTCCTTGTTGCTGTCAAACTTGTCGAACACTTTCTTCATCTCCTCCACGTTCGGCTGGAACAAGGGCTTCTGCAACCCCGAGTTGACTCGATCTTTCATGGAGAACAGCCGAGATGGCTTTCTCAGGTACTTCCTCTTGGAGAGGTTGTATTGGAAATCAAGGAAGCCCGAGGTCGACATGATGATCTTCTTCTTCTGCTAAGTATACGTACTGCTGCTATATGGTTGATATAATTATTAGGCTCATAGCATGCTGCCTCTTATATAACAATGAAATGCCCGACACTAATAAGCAGTGATTTTTGATATTGTTCTTTCTAAGGTGATCAGGAATCTGAGGAATCCTAGGGGATCAGTTATTCCCTGATAACAAACAGATGACCACGAAACTGAAGATGCTGGAAGAGAAAAAGCAGGATGGGGAAGGTGATAGGGAAAAGAATACATTCTTTTTTTAAAAAGCTAAGAGTAAAGAGTGTATTAAATTCACGTATTTGCCTCTCAGGGGAGGAAGGGATGTTCCATTTGCATTCTAATATACACAAGTATTTTTTTTATCACTCAGTGGCAGAAAACAAAAATGAGTCTTCACGTTGAATTAATGAAGGATAAATTCCCTAGGCGGAGGAGAGAAAGAGAATAAAGGCGAAGTTTTTAGTAATAGTGGTTATCCGTTGTCCACGTCGTCCTCCACTAAGTCAATGTCTTGCCATATCTTCTGCGAGTAATATGCAGAGATATGTGGTAAATGCCATCGTATCTCATACGTATAGCCATCGTATGTCGACCGTATGCGTACACTACAAATGGCACGGTACGGACACTTAAATGCAATAATAATTAACACTCAGGTATATAAAAGAGGGTAAATATACGTGTGAGTTGGGAGGAGTTTACCTTTTATTGTATCCAAATCTCTGTTGGGAGAAATCTAATCCGTGTATTCCTTGTATTCGCTAAGAAGTAATATATACACTCATCTGTTTTTGCCTATCCTTACTGATAAGCACTTTCAAGTTTTAAGTTGGAGGAAAATGATTTGTCAGGCATTCAATTATTAAGTTGTGCTTACCAGTGCTTCTTTTCGGCCAAGACATTTTTGTTAATATTTAAGAAGTAATAACAAAGATTGTAATTATTAGTTGTTACTAACATTTTATTGATGCATACAGTAGTTTGTTTTTAAGTTGATTTATTGATTTTTATATACAAGCAATTATTATGTATACTTTGTCTTACTAACATTTTGTCTGCGTAAATATTGATATGCTCAAGCTCAATCATAATTTTCATGAAAACGAGTGATAGACACAATGAGACCAAGAAGAATAATTAAATTTTCATATACCCACTACCACATGCAGTAGCACTTACAACTGTATGGCAAAATAAAGTAATAAACAAAGCAACTCTTACTCATTTTCACAGTCAGGTAAATTAAGCAGAATGAATCACCGGGCGTAATATGCTCTTTTTGCTGATACAGTGTTTAGTGAACCTAGTTTTTGATTTACGTTACGGAGCCTGCACAGCAATTAATGCCAAACCAGAAACGATTTGTATGTATTGAAGGCCTAAAAGACTCCCTAATCACATACTAAATTGCCAAGGAAATTTGCCAGTACTCCTCCATCATCATTTTGCAAATGACATTAAAGCTGATTCTGACTGGTGATTTCCAGAAGCTTTCCTAACAAATACAAATGGCATTATTATTAGAAGGCAAAGTTTGGGAGAAAAAGAGTAAAAAAATTCACCAAAAAAAAAAACAATAACAAAGAGGATAGAAGGAGGAAGAAGTGATGGTTAATGGTTGTGTTCTTCGTTTTTTTTTTTTTTTAATTGGAGATAACTTCTAAAATCTTTCAAGCATACCAGAAGGCGTGCGCTTAGGTGAAGCCAGAAGAAGAAAGAACTAACAGATCGTGAAGAGGTGCTGTGATTGGTTATACTTCCACGCCACTCCGATTTTGTAGCTCTGGAGGAACTTTGCCATCTAGTTTGTTTTTTTGGAGATATCTATCATACCAAAGCAGAAAGCTTAGTCAGCAGCAAGCTGAAGACGTAAGAAAAGAAGAGCATAACATTGTTCAGTTCTGTGTTCCCGCAGTGGCAAATATCTTACATTTCACGCAGTTTTGGGAGTTTCCCCAGTGACGATGGAATTGGCCCATTAAGCTGGTTATTCTCCAAATTCCTTTCATTGTAACAAGCACCGGAAAAAACAAAGTAAGAAAGAAAGAAACGAGGCAGAAAAATTAGCATCAGGTAAGAAAGCTCAGAAAAAGAGTAAAAAATAAGGGTAAAGCTTCAGTGAAATTATTTTTGTTATATAGTTTTCTGTGAGTCATGTTTTCTCTCACAGGGATTGGAGTATGCTCATTCATTATGTTTTCTCTAGTACCTATGCTGATCACCTTGCTAAGATGTCTCATAAATTAGATGATAGCTTTTGTACCTTTGGTCCATCCTGTGAGAGAATCAGGTTTTAAATACTTGAAAGTTTTACCAAAGATTTTCCAAGAAAAGAGGAATGGAGATGAATGTATCTTGGTCTACATACAAAGTTTGTAGCTCCTTCAGCTTAGACATGTCGGGAATTTCTCCTGAGAGGTTGTTTCCAGGTAGCCAACTGGGGCCAATGATTTCAATAACATAGTATCATGATTAAGCTTTAACTAAGAGAAATCACTTAACATTTTCAAATTAAAAGGAATAGACTCCTTACAGGTATATGAGACCAGTTAAATGGCCAATGCTTGGAGAAAGTGACCCAGACAGCCCAACCTCCGTCAAGTTCCTTCACCAAAAACAAAAAAAAAAAAAAACAAAAAAACTGAATCCACCATTATACGTTAGGAGCATCGGTTAACTTCAATTAAATTATTAGACTAGTCCTTATTTTTTATTCAATTTTTAATTTGGTGTTGAAGAACTTTTAACTTTTAAGAGCCTGTTTGTTTTTCCATTCAGCAAGAAGCAACCATTTCTTGCTTCTCACAAATGGAGCTTTGGAATTTGTGTCAACTGGTATCCAAATAGGCGGCTATAAGTCTCTCGGTTATTGTAGTTTTTAAAACTCAATAACTTGTAACTCCTTTTATTACTTTTGCCAGAATATCATCAAATTCTGTTGGTGTTGGCCATCTGGTTCCATATTTGAATCATGAGCATGCACGATTTGCTGATTCATCTTCATCCCAACTGTTTAGCCTATTTGGTATCACGTCACACACCTGAGTGACTTTAACTCTATTATCTACCTCCGATCTATTTTAGAAGTTTGATTAATATGAATCATGCATATTCAGACAACATACAAGCCCATGAGTAATGAAACTCAAACTTAGAATAGTTGAATCTAATAATTTAAATTTAGTTGTAGTTAATACTCGAACTTACACTGAGATGACCTGGCAAATAAACTCTTGAGAACATTGAACTCCAGTCCATGAATTTTCTTTAGGTAGGCAGGGATCCCCACTCCAATCAGGAGGAGGATTGTCAAAACATTTAGCCAATTCTTCCATTGCGATCACTATGGACAGATTGTCATAAAAACTAAATTAAATCATGTGAATGGAAGATCATCAATACGATTCTAAAATTCAATCAAGACGCTCCAAAGAAGTACAGAGAGATCTACGAGATACCATCTCTATGAATAGTATGGCCCCCCAGAGGAAGAACCTGTAAGATTTCTCCAGCATTGATTACAGGTCCAACGGTGCTTCCTTCTCTAGGGGCCAAAGTGATTTTGGTTTGACCAGAGAGAGGCCACTGTGGAGAATAAACAGTAAGACCGCTTGCTGTGACATTGAGTTTGGAGAAAAAAGTTTGGTTATTAATAACAACATCAAATATCCTCCAGCTGTAAGCGCTTGGTGACCTATTATCCTGAAAATACAGGGCTATGTAGTAGTTGGTCCTCGGAAGGGACGCAAGTGGCCATTGAAGCTCAAGCACCTTCCCTCTACTAGTTGTAATTCCAGATATGAATACTGTCACTGGCGGGAGATTCCAGAAATCTGATGATGTTACATTGGAATGGCTCGTGACAGAAGGGTTCTGGTCCAAAAATGGTTGCCACATCCGGTTGAATTTGTCATCAGGATAACTAGTTTCACATATACACAGCACACATCTTAACCATAAGAATTCTCTCTGTTTGATTTCACATTTCAATTTACATAATTCATGCATTACCAAATAACAAATCCAGGATTTTATATGCGCATATAATTCTGCATCACTAAAGCAATAGGTAAAAGTAACTCTATCTAAGTCTATGATGGACAGGTGTACAAGGCTTGTATTTAATGAACAAAATTTCAGGGACAGTTTTTAGACGTTTTCCCTGCTAAAATATGGCGCTTTTTTTTCTTTCGTTTTTTTTTTTTTTTAAGTTTTGTATTACAGGATGATTGGGTCTTTAAAAATTTCCCAGGTTTGATGGTTTGATTAAAGAATCTAATAGCAAACACCAAGAAACATTACCTAATTTAACTCCATTTGTAATTTAGCCCTCCATGTTCTTTCAATTTAATCTCCTATTCATGGAAGTCCTTTCAGTGTCATCTACTCATCTTCCATCCCATTCCCATTCATTAATTAACATTTAATCTATCTTAACGTTGATCCACACTTGTTAACTTATGCCTGGCACATACTCAGTCCACATGAGCTAAGAAGCCATAAATAGAAATCCAAATTTCAAGAAATTAATGAGTGTAGGTTAACTTCAAAGATATAAAACTTATGAATTTCCTGGCTTGGACTAATTTGATATGGACTGTGTTAGTTTTTATTTAACATTATTCACAAATATTGAAGATGGGGGTGGAAAGGAGACATTGAAAGCCTTTTAATAAATGAGGAACTAAAATGAAAGAAAACAACAGTGGATGTCAATTTAAAATGCCGATATTTGTCAAGTAGGGAAATAGGATTTTAACTCATAAAAACCCCACGAGAAATGAAGATTATGAGCAAATTATAGCTTACCCAATGATTTCTTCGCCTTCTCCAAAATTATGCCTTGCAACAGTGACAAGGGCATATGTGGTGAAGTTAGTGGGATTATACACAGAAGCATCCAAGGCCTGCACCTCCAATGCTGAAATGAAAGGGCTGGAACTACCGGTCCAATCATTCCTCGCCAAGCACACACTCAACCTGTTCCCAAAAGCCATCACTACGACCTCGAAGTAGGAACTAAGGCCTTTGGCATAGTCCTCTGTGGTGTTTATAATGCTCCATTTGGTCCCTCCAACAATTTGGTCAAACACAGGAGGCTCCTTCCCTCCATCAAAACTTCCATAATAGAATATGGTTCTCACAAGGTACTTGCCCTGGGCGTTGACGGGTATAGAATAGCAGTATTTTCTGGCCTTTGTGTCAGGAAAGTAACGTACTGTGGACAGTACGGGAACCAAGTTTTCTGACTTTATAGTAGTGATATTGCCCACTCGGATGAAGTCCTGATCAGATATGTAATTGAGACTTCCCACTGTTACATTTTCCGAGCCTCCGCAATTTAACAAATACCCTGCGTCCATGAATAAAAGGACCCAAGTTATACTTACCTCATACATTGAACAATTTTAAGGGATTAAACTGACATTTCGAAGTTAAAGTCATTCAATTTCAAAATTTCTAACGCACTCTCTCACAACAAAAGTATGAGACCAATGAAGGGCAAATCGATTTTAGACCAAATCAGGAGAAGAAAACTCTGAAGTTAGCTGTAATTAATTTAATGCAAATAAAGATGAGGACAATGACATTAGGGGAAACCATGAAGACCCATTAATCCATTCAAACAAATAAATAAAGAAAAGACGCAAATCATGATGGTGTTTAGCTACAATGGTGGATGAATCAGGTAGAGATAATGGAGTTAGAGGAAATGATGTCTATGGAAAATGTACCTTGAGAGTCAGAGGGAAAGGCAGAGTGGGGAAGGACGAGGATGGTGAGGAGGCATAGGAGGAAGACGGAGGGGCTCATGACGTCATAACCCACCGCCCAGCCTGAAAACTGCATGCGATTTGGGAGGCTTCAATCCTGTGGTGCTGGAAATGGAGCAGAAAGAGGAAGGAGGGGGACCACATGGCCTGTGTTTGATCCTGACTTCTGAGGGCATTGGCACGTCATGGGCCATGCCGAAAGATAGAATTGAAATGCTCATGCCTTGACTTTGTCAACCCCTGCCTCAAAACGACATCGTCCTCTACTTCAAAACGTCGCTTGCTGCCAAGCCCAAGGATAATTTTACCTTAAACTGAAGAAATTTAATTTAATATGTTGATCAATAAGACTTTGAGCTAGAAATTTAAAATTATTCATGATTGAATAATAAATACTAGGCATATTAGAGATGTTGAGTTTCAATAGATAATAAAAAAAATTCTGAGTTTCCTTATCACAATTCGCTTGAATATAAAAAAAAAATTTAGTAGAACAAATGTGTAATTTGATTGAAGTGTAAAAAATTACAGACTAAAAATTATGAATTAAAAAAAAAGCTAATAAATGTAAAATATATGAGTCTTGATCGAGTGTTGACTACCATTCTCTATTTTTTTTCTTTCTATTTATAATGTTGAATAACAGAAACTTTTCCTTTAAAATTTAGCACGTTTTATTGAAGAATCAATAATCTCGCAAAACTTATGATACGATCTCTCTATTTTGATAACCAGTCCATTTCATCCGAATCACTTGAGCGTAGATTTTAACATTACTTAGGATCGTGTTTTCATATCAACAGTCTAATATTTAAACTGATAAAATTTTAATATATTTATTTATTATGGACTTTGAATGAATGTTCATAATTGAGTGAGCATATAAAAACCACGCTTCGGGAAGGGGGGAAAAAAGCCTGCTCTAGTCTGATTCATTCATGCACAGTATGATCGTTTTTTGGTTTGGCTGGATGCCTGGGTGTATGAATTATAAATTGACTCTTTCGAATTTTTAAAATTACGTGTGGCCAGCTTCATCACTAGGTGTTTTCAAAAAAAAAATCTAAAATAATTATAAAATTGTGAGACAATTGAGAAGCAATATCAATAAATATAAATATAAGCATCTTTGACATCACTACAAATTCAATCCCCCTTCTGGTTAAAAAAATAATCAAATCAAATTAAATCAAACCCAACCATTATTTTTTTTTACATCCTTTAATTAATACTCCCTCTGAATTTTATTATATGATGTTTTTTAGAAGAATTCTTTGATAATTAATATAAAACATTTGATGAAATATTAATTATATTTTTTTAATATTACCTTTATTTAAACCTATTAACAATAAGAGAGTAATGCAAATTTAAAATTTTTTTATTTATATAGGGATAAAATTAAAAAATTTATTATATTTTCAAACAAAATTAATAATTTGATCACATTTCATTAATTTTGATAAGATAGTTAGAAGTATTTTATAATAAAGTTTGAATGGAGTACTTTCTTGATTTTTATTTATAAAACAAAATTAACCAAATCCCGTATACTAATTAATCTGATTTTCATTTATTTAAATTTACTTCCATTTTTTTTCAACTCTATACTTATTCAGTGTTTATTTTATTTACTAATTTTTAATGAGAAAGACAACTTTATGGACTCATGACAACTTGGAAAAATCATTTTATACATTAAAAAAGAACATGTTAAAAAATATTAAATACTTTTCAAATTTTATAATTTGTCATTTGTACAAAATCAAATCAATTTTTTAACTTTATATAATATTTTATTTTGATCTCTTAATTTAAAAAAATATCTTTTATATCCTCAAACACTTTCAGTTTCATCACAAATTTTTCACATTGATGCTTAAAATATTATTTCAAAGTTCAATCTTTGAAGGTATATATAAAAAAACATCTTTTGAGAGATGCCACCCCCTTAAATAGAGCTTAAATTTTTTAAAAAATTAATCTCATGATTGTTGATTGTGAAGATATAATGGATAACAAAAAAAAAATTTGAGAAAATTAATTATTTAATTTTTATTGTTTTAATTTAATTATAACCTAATTTTTTAACTTTGACTCGTTCTAACTCAATTCCTGAAATTTTAATTTTATTGTAAATTAATTACTAAATTTTACCTCTAATAATTTACTCTCTAAAGTTTCAACCTTTTGAACATTAGTTCCTATATTTTAAAAAATAAAATTATAAAAATTAAATATATTTTGAAATTTATAATTAATATTTTAAATCATTAAACCCTTTTAGTTTAAATATTTTTGAACTAAAAGGGTTTAATATTAAAAGTTTAGATATTTTTTATCTTTATATTTTTATTTTTTATAAAATATAAAAATCAATATTTGAGAAGATGAAGCTTCAGGAACTAAATTGTAAAATATAAGGTTTAGAGACTAATTTTTAACCGAGTTAAAATTTTAGAGATTAAATTATAATGAATTAAAATTAAGAGCTTGATTACAATTGAGTTAAAATTATAAGAATTAAATGATTAATTTTTTTAAAAAATTTTTTTAAACTTTTAAATATTATAAAATATTTTTAAATGTTAACATATTAAGTTTATTTTTTAAAACAACAATAATTATTATTAAAAATAATTATTTAAAATTAATAATGTTAGGATTTGGAAGGTTAGGAAGATATTTTATAAGATTAAATTATTAAATCAAATTAAATTTTTAGAATCAAAAGCATTTTTTGGGGGAATCACAAAACCCCCCCCCCCCCCCCCCAAGTTAGTTAATCCCAAAGCTTCGCGGGTAAGGAAAAAAGCGTGTCATGAACGCGACGCAAAGAGCCTCCCAACGGCCAAGGACATTATAAAACTTTTTACTGATCGCAGCCGCTCGAAGGTCACGGGTTTCAAAATCTTCGCTCTCGAATTTTTACCAACCTCCAATCATCTCAATCTCTTCCAAATTCGCCGTTCATGGGAACGTCTCAGAGCCGTGAGGGCCTCGACGGCTCCGACTCTGATTATGAAGAGGAAGAAGATGAACAACAGGAAAGCCAGGAGGAGCATGATGGTGATAAAAGTTCCTCCGGAGCCAAATCCAAATCAACAGTTGATCAGCTTGATGAAGTCGACGCGAAGCTCAAAGAATTGAAGCTCAAGTACCAATCGTCCTGCTCGCAAACCCCTAATTTGAAAAACGCTGTCAAGAGTTACCTTCACATCGGAGGTAACACTCCCAATGCTAAGTGGATCATTTCCGACAAACGCACATCTTACGCTTTTGTCAAAGCCTCTAGTGACAACCCCGACGATGATGAAGAGGGATCATACCGTAAGGGAGAATCATGGTGGGTGCTGAAGGTTGGTTCCAAGGTTCGAGTTAGGGTTTCTTCGGAAATGCAATTGAAGATGTTTGGCGATCAGCGTCGGGTGGACTTCGTGGCCAGCGGCGTATGGGCATTGAAATTCCCCACGGACGAAGCCTATCGGAAGTTTGTGACTGAATTTCAGAATTGTTTGTTTGAGAATGTGTATGGGCTTGAGGCCTCGGAAGAGAACAAGATAAAGATTTATGGGAAGGAATTTATAGGGTGGGTGAAACCTGAGGCGGCTGACGATTCGGTGTGGGAGGATGCAGATGATGGGTTCGGGAAGAGTCCTGAGCCTGTAACACCAGCTAGGGCAACCGAGGACTTGATGGAGGAGTTTGAGGAGGCTGCTAATGGAGGGGTGCAGAGCTTGACGTTGGGTGCTCTTGATAATAGTTTCTTAGTGAATGATATGGGCGTCCAGGTTTACAGAAATTTTAACCATGGAATTCATGGGAAGGGTGTCTCTGTGAAATTTGATGGTGGCAAGTTGCTGGGAAGCTCCAGTTCAGGAAAATCAGCGGCAAAGAAAGCGTTATTAATGAGGGCAGAGACTAATATGCTGCTTATGAGTCCAATGAAGGAAGGGAAACCACACTCCTCAGGTCTGCACCAGCTTGATCTTGAGACTGGTAAGGTTGTTACTGAATGGAAGTTTGAGAAGGATGGAGCCGATATTACCATGAGAGATATCACAAATGATACCAAGGGATCACAGTTGGATCCTTCTGAGTCGACATTTTTGGGCTTAGATGATAATAGGCTTTGTCAATGGGATATGCGTGACAGGAAAGGAATGGTCCAAAGTATTGCAGCTGCTAATTCTCCAGTGTTGCATTGGAATCAGGGGCATCAATTCTCCAGAGGAACAAACTTTCAGTGCTTTGCAACTACTGGAGATGGTTCAATTGTTGTAGGATCTCTTGATGGAAAAATACGTCTTTATTCAAAGACATCAATGCGGCAAGCAAAGACTGCTTTTCCGGGGTTAGGCGCTCCAATCACCCACGTTGATGTTACTTATGATGGCAAGTGGGTGCTAGGCACTACTGACACTTATTTGGTACTGATTTGCACTTTATTCACCGATAAAGATGGCAAAACAAAGACTGGGTTTACTGGACGAATGGGAAACAAAATACCAGCTCCGAGACTGTTGAAGTTGACTCCTCTTGATTCACATTTAGCGGGTACAAGCAATAAGTTTCATGGTGGCCATTTTTCATGGGTAAGTGCTTTATTCTTTATTGTTAAATTACGCAACTGTTGCAATTGAATCCTAGCTAATGTATCTAGTTATCTACCTTTCGTTTAGTTGCAGTAAAGCGCTTTCAATTGCCACTTTGCTACTGATTAATTTTTTTTAGATAAACTATTTCTTCCATCCCTTGCAGAATGCGACGAATTCATTAATTTTATGATCACCATAACATCATTGTTGTAGCTCATACCATACCATGTCTTTTGTTGGGAATAATTTTTTTCCTTTCATTTTGGTCATAATATCATAATTATCACTACTTCTTTTAGTATTTGGTTAACTCGGGTGATGCCTAGTGTATGACATGGGTTTTGTCTGTGTTTCTGACACACAGTACAAGGATGTACGGTGTCCCCCCCCCCCCCAAATATAGTATAATCTTCAAATATTTTTTTCACTGTCTCTGGAACATTTTTTTCCTCAAAACTAGTAAGTGCTGCCGGCAAAATCGAATCAAAATTTTGACCACTGAGATTGGTTTTAGAAAACACTACTCTCAACTTTCAATCTGTACTGAAGAGATTATACGTTATAGTGCAAGCAACTTGTGCTATTTTCAGAAGGTTCTCTTATGGATGGATGGAAATTATTGACAGATATGCATTCCCACAGTCACTGGTATATGTAAACTGGCATGAGCTCCCCTTGGAGGAAGGACTTTTTTAATACTATTCTCACTGTTCTGATCCTTCGCATCTGCTTAAGGAACTTGCCTTTGATTCATTGTACGCGGTTGTATGCTTGCATGTCTTTGTCTAGTTGTTCAAGGTAGCCATCTTGAAACCATAATATCCTGAACTGGTATGCTGATATTTTAATGACCTGGTGAGAAAACTATTCATCTTTAGTGTAGAGAGGTTGAGGTATATTTTAAAATTATAGAGTTGATAGCAATTTAACAAACCTGGAATGATGGAAGGTCCAAAAATGACACTAAAGATAAACTATAATGGGTGATAACGAAGGATGTTTAGTAAATGACAGGATAGATGCAAAAATAGCACAGGTCGTGCTGGTGATGAATTATAGGATCCACCACAGATCAGGCGTAGGCCATAGCTTTTAGTGGATTGAATTGAATCGAGTCTGTTTTACCGTGACCGAAAAGCCAGACTGTTAAGGGGAATTTTTCATTGCATTTTTAAATTAGAAGATAATTAGATAAGTATTTCGACTGTCTTTTGAACATTTTAGGGTTGGAAGGATTGCATTACATTTTCTTTGAACGGTCCCTTTGACCCAAGTGCAAGTGGAGTGAAAATGTTTTATGCATTACATGCACATGCCTATTGGTATTAACATCAGTTCAGAACTATATAAAATAGATAGGGTCCTGCTATATGAGTAATTTGCTTCATTTGTGTGTGAAGTCAACAAGATGGTTCAAAATTCATATCTGATGAAATTTATAACATGAATATATGATATATGGCTACACTGCTTGTAATATGGCCGACTGAGAAGTTGGGGCTTGTGAAAACTTGATGCTTGAATACTTGATATGCTTTTTTTCAATTAAATCAAAACAAGTAGACTTTTTCACTCATTACTTACCCTATAACCAACTTCTATGATAAACATTTTTAACTTAGTTTTAAATTTAACGTATAATTGTTCTAATTTAATTGGAGAAAAAATATATGAAGTATATAAGGTTAATAACCTTAAGTGTTTTTCCATTCTAAATTTAGTGGCTCTCTAATACTTTGGTAGTTTGGCGAGTAAACTTGCAACAAGCATCTCACATTTGTAGTTGTTTATCTCTTTCAGGTGACTGAGAATGGCAAACAGGAGCGCCACCTTGTTGCAACGGTGGGCAAGTTCAGCGTGATATGGGACTTTCAGCAGGTGAAGAACAGTGCTCATGAATGTTACAGAAATCAGCAAGGGCTCAAGAGCTGTTACTGTTATAAGATAGTACTGAAGGACGAGTCAATTGTAGAATCGCGATTTATGCACGACAAGTTTGCTGTTAGTGATTCTCCCGAAGCTCCATTGGTGGTGGCAACTCCCATGAAAGTTAGCTCTATTAGTCTGTCTGGAAAGCGACGTGGTTAGGCAAACCTTTGCCTCACAATCTTTTTCCCACCTTTGGTTTCATGTGTTGTGTTTTTTTCTGAGTTATTATTTTCCATGTAACTATAAATTCTCTCTCTTTTAGGCTGTTCAGTCTTCTGTATTGAGGTTTAGGTTTTGCCTGTATGGCTGTATCATTGTTCATTATACTTCAGTTTGGGTCTGGATAGAAGTTTTTTTTATCCTTTTCTTTCTTTCTTTTTTTTTTTGTTTTAATCCTTGGCTTTGAAGTTTGAAGCTGCAAAAATTGTTTTGTCCGGTTGTTTTACTGTAACAGAAGTTTCGAAAGCATCACCCTTGAACGTTCATCGTTTTTTCCTGAACTCGGCCAAGATTGCAGAGAAAAAAGGTGAAAAAGAAAAAATAATAAATAGAAAACTGGTCGAATTGAATTATTGTGATCTCATTATCAAATGGGATCTTTAAAAGTAGATGCTATTTCGATTTATGATCTCTGTTGTTGTCCTTTTCTGTTGACGGGGGTGGAATCCATCTCAATATCCCAAGCTCTCTACCTCTCTACTTCAGGAGATCTCTGTTTGGCATGGTTTATCTTCTTATTCTAGCTAATGTTTTTTTTAGAATTTGAAGGAAACGGAAAATAGTCTGAGTCAATGTAGGGCCAAGTTCTGGGCCGGAAGTGGGTCTAAGGGCTGGTTGAGGTTAAGGCCTTTATGCAGGAATTGCCCAGGTCTGGTAAAGAGACCTGATCCAAATTGAATGTGCTCTCAGCAAGTATGAATTGAAAGAAAACGATAAAACTCCACCAAAATATCAAATATTTGTAATTATTTATTTTTGGGGAGATAACTTGCTATCAAATTATTTTTCAAATTTTTAAAAGACGATGAATTATCTCATATGAATACTTTGTGAGTACTTTTAACTACTCTCTCGTTGACTCAACTATTTTTAACTGGAAAATTTATGAAAATATGATAATACTCCTTCCATTAAAAAATGTGAGGTATTTTTAATCAAATTTTATCTCCCAATAAAGTAGTTACCTACTTTCCAACTAACTTTATTTTTTCATATTTACCCCTATTAAACACCTTACAATACATATAAAATCATTATCAATAGGGGCAGTTTAAAAAAAATAATCATTACATGTCAAAAAGACTAAAAATATCTTACATTTTTGTAACCTCTTAAAAAATGTCTTATATTTTTGAATGAAGGGAGTAAGTAATATGGGTTCTCATTCTTTAAGTAAACGGTCAGAATTCAATTGCTAATTTTCTTATATATCTAGTAAACTTAATTTAGAAGGACTAGCTATTTACAAGTGAGATGCATTAGAATACATTTTTTTGTATTTTAATAAACTAAAACTATTCATCAAAGTCAAAGTGTCAACCCAAATCAACTTCATGCAGTAACCAACTTCATGGAATGGCTTTTATATACTCTCAGAAAACTTTTTTAAAGCATTCATTTAGTCTTATTTATAAGTTAATTTTAGCATGTTTTACTAGCATTGATGAAAATATTAAATCTTATTAATTTTATCTTAGATTTTAATAAGTTTCTATCTCTATCCCTAATAAATACAAAAAGAAATTTTTTAATAATTTTTCTTAGCATTTAATAAAGGCAGAAAGGTAAGGATGAATATAAAAAATAGTGAAATACCTTATAAATAGGACAAAAACTAATCTTCTCACTCTATCCTATAAATATGACCAAAGGAGTATGATGTTAAAAAAATAATATATTTTAAGTCTTCTAAGATATAATCAATAAGATTTTAAAAAAAATTCCATGGTTAAGGTATAATTAATAAGATTTTGTAATTGAGGTGTCTGATTAAATAAAGATGAACACAAAAAAAATGAATAATTTTAAATATCATTAATTAACTTATTAGAAGTTATGAATTTATTAAAGAAAAAATACAATTATCGATCTTTATAATTTTATCAAGTTTTATTTTCAGTCTCTATAATTTTTTAGTGTCTTTAATCCCAATAATTTTAGTAAAATTGAGTGATATTTATTACTTAAATCCCTATAATTTTAATGTTTTCAATAGTTTCAATCTCTATAAAGATTGAAAATGAAAAACAAAAATTATAAGATTTAAGGTAAAATTTAACAAAATTATAGGGATGAATAGTTGTGTTTTCCAAGTGGTTCTTGCCAATGAATGGATTAATGGAATGGGGATATATACAATTGCCCCTTTAATTTTTTTTTTTCAATAAAAGACATTGATATTTAATAAAATTTCACCAAGTGAAAAGTTCAAGGTGTGACAATCCCCTACTCCCCTTAAATTATCATTGTAAGGATGAAGAAGTGACGTTACATTATCCATCACGTGACACGGTGTGAATGACGCAGCACCCTATGTTAGCCAGGGAAAAAAAAAAAAAAAACCCTGCGGTGGTCCTCTGTGGCTCAAACTTTTGTTTCCGCCGACGTTCCTCTTCAATCAGGCGCGTACCTTTTCACTCTCTCACGCGCGCGCATTTTTAACCAGACTCTTCTCATTGTGGAATAAGCTACATTGAATTGGATTTAGAATTTAGATCGATTATTGAGAAACCCTTTCAAGTTTCAACCCTATCATAGAGTTCTCATGCAGCTATATTTTTGAGACATGAATTCAAAACTACTAGTTAAACTAGAATAACACTTTACCAGTTATTCTGGATTTGATTTAAAATCTTACATGCAATTTACTGGGGTGGATCAAGCCAAATCTGAATTAATAATATTTCATCGTGCTGGAGGACTGCGTGCAGTTAACTAACTTCAATTCCATTCTCTCGTATTGATTGATTTGATTCATATTTTAAAATCAATATAAAATGTATGATGAATGATCTATAACAAGATGATGCATTGTTTTTGTGCTTTTGTTATAAATAATATATTTTATTAATCCATCGGTTGATTGAGTAGTCAGTCCACTTAAATTGTAATTATAAGTAACATTTTGTGTACTGTATTGATTTTAAAATAATATTTGTAAAAAAAATTGACGGTTGAGATTTTACCTTTTTAACTATGTTCTATTAGGAGAATGATAGATAGGTCTATGAATATTAAATTAGTAATAATTAAATCCCTGAAAAAATTTAAAAAAAATAAATTGAATATATTGATTAAATAATTATAAATGCAGGAGTTTTAATTATAAATGAATATTTAAATATAAGATATAACTCTTAAATTATAATAGAAATTTTTTGTCTGTAATTGTGTAAATTGATATTTACAACTTATTTTTTAAAAAAATTTATCGAAGATCTAATTGTTATTAATTCAATCTTTTGAAATCTAACTGTAATTCTCCCTGTTATACTGGGCAGTAAATAAATATTCATATTATTTGACTACTATGTATTTTTGGTATTTATTTATGCTTTAAATTTATAGACAGTACAAATATTTTAACAAATGATACTGTTCATAACATATAAACTAAGAATATTATAAGGATTTATTTTCCAAATTTCAAGCACAGAACAGTATTATCCATGGCAGTCTTGATTGTATAGATTTTGGTGAACTTTTGGCTTAATTAGTCAAATAATTGGAGGAAAAGTGATAGGATCACAAAATGAGGACAAAAATGTGGAATACGAACGTGTTAGGATTTTGATTATTAAAGTGATTAATATTAGCTAAAGTAAAACTACAAACCAGTAGCAGCGGTTTTAATATACAAAACTTTCTAGATGTAGGAATACATAAAACGTTTTTCAGGGAGTTACCTTCAATCAAACTCAACTTAAATTGACCCAATTATAAAATAAGAGAAGGGATGATTTCCTCTTTCCTTCCTATGATCTTTCCTTTTTTTTTTTTTTCCTTCTAGCCATTAGATATAGATTTGTGAAGTTCAAATTTAAGACACATTTAATTATTTTATTAAAATTAAGAAAATGTGATCAAGTCGTTAACTTCATTTAAAAAAAAATAAAATTATAATTTTACCCATGTTTATATAGAAAAAACTTAAAATTTGGATCATATTCTCTCTGGTAATTAATGAATTTAAGTCGTTGTAATATTAAAAAAGATAATTAATTTGCCATCAAATATTTTATATTAAGAATTATCTTTTTTTAAAAAAATGTTTTATAATAAAAACCCGAGGGAATATAACATTACTAAAAACATGTGACGTACGCTCCGATCCATGAACGAGAATTAAAAAACACGGACACAAATAATTCCTCCTAAAGGCCTTTGACTTTGACGATAATTATCCAATACTCCCTCCATTTTTATATAAAAATAATAATATATCATATACTTTAAAAAAATTATTTAACCATAATAATTATATTTAAAAATAAAAAATTAAATTAAAATGTTCTATATTAATTAACATAAACATGTGTTAATTATTTTTTATTAATGTAAATTATGATGGGTGATTTAAAAAATGTGTAATAAATATTTATAAAAAATACTCCATCCATTTAAAAATATAAGATATTTTTTAAAGAGTTAAATGTTTAAACATATAAGACATTTTTAATCATTTGCGGTATAATTATTGTTTTTTTAAAGGTTATTGACAATGACTTTATATTTATTGTAGGGTGTTTAATAAAAATAAATATAAAAAGATAGGGTTAGTTTAAAAGTAGGTAATTATTTTATTAAAAGATAAAATTAATAATATCTTATATTTTTTATAATGTTTTATATTTTTAAATAAAAAGGTAATAATTTTTTTTAAAAAATAGAAGCGGAGGAGCAACCGCATAGATGTAGGACGTATCTATAATGTCATAAACATGAACGACAACAATCTTGATGTGTCATGTCTTACGTCTGAGATAGTTTGGTCGCGGGTGCTCCCATGGTTGATGGCTGATCCCAAAATGGGCACATTGCAAACGTGAGGAAAAGAGCTGGGGGAAGCGGAAAGCACGTGTTAATATGAAAGCTGGTGATGTGGCACAGTTATGGTAGTTACGCGGCCCTACTAAGGCAAAAGAACGTCAGCTCACTCAGCTGTATTGATGAGTCATTGTGTGCTGTTTCCCGCCTTAACCCAAAACCCAAAGTGCTCCCCTCAGTTCACCATAAAGCCCTCTTCTGCAGGTGATGTTCTGTGGGGCCCACCTGTCCGAGTCCTCTCTTCCTTGTCCTATCGAATCTCCTCGCCACCTGCCAAACACCCGGCTACCAATTCTCCTGTCATTGTAAATGAAAAAATAATAATAAAATTTATAAAATAATACAATTTTTTTATTTAAAAATATAAAATATTTTTAATCAAATTTCACTTCTTAATAAAATAATAATTTATTTTTTAATTAAATTTATTTTTTTTATTTATTTTTATTAAATATCTTGTAATAAATATAAAATTATTATCAATAAAGACACTTTTAAAAAAATAATAATTATATCTTAATATATTTTCAAACTGAGGGAATAAATTATAACATTGTTTTATAAAATATTATAATTTTTTTAAAATTTTTAAAAAATTTTATGTTAATAAATTATAAATTGAAAAAATTATTTTACTTTTGTTAACAAGTTGTGATTTTTTGTTTAATTTTTATAATTTTTTAATTAAGAATTATTATTTCTTAAATGAAAGTTATAATTAAATCTTGTTATTTTAAGAATTTATTTTTTAATAAGAGAAATTATATTTGATAAATTGTGATTTCTTATTCAATTCTTACAATTCACGAAATAAAAGTTGTTATTTTTCAAATAAAAAATTATAATTGAGACTTGTTATTTTTTTTAATACAAGGCCACAAAAAATCATATGAAAAGATTAAGATTTAGTTATGTTTATAACCAAGAGGCTTCTACATTCGTGTGATGGATCATTGAAGATCGAAATATCATGGTTCTCATAGAAGGAGCTTGTTATTTTGAAAACTTATTTTTTAATAAAAGAAATTACACTTGATAAGTTATAATTTTTTATTCAACTCTTATGATTTATAAAATAAAAATTATTATTCCTTAATCAAAACCTATAATTAGAGCTTCTAATTTTCAACAAAGTTAAATTCATCTTTTTATTTTAAATTTATTGACACATAAATCTCTAAAAAATTTAGTGAAATTATGATATTTCAAGAGATCAGATTATCATTTATATAATTTAAAAGAATTTTATTATTATTTTTTCTTGTAAATAAGTTCTTAGACTTTAAGACATCTCTTTTTATTACTATTAGAGAGACAGCACTTACAATGAAATTACAAGTAAAATTAAACCTGTAATTTTTCACTTGCAGTAAAATTCATGTGTCACTAAACTAACAGACATCGATAGAATTTAATGGATCTAGACCTTAACTTTTTAAAAAAAAATTAAAGTATATCATCCAACAAAATCAATTTAAATAAATTATTTTAATATAAATTATAAATTCATTATAACAGAATTATAAAATTATAAAATTAAATTATAAATTATTAAAATTTGATACTTAAAATTTAATTTAAATTAATTAATCATTTTCAAACCCCTCTCTCATTCTCCCAATATTTTTCACCATATCTGTGTCGATTTGTCGCGTAGTGCATGACCTGGTCCTCAGACAACATAATTAATTATTCAGCAAAGTCAGTAATTGATGAATCACCCAAAAACGTACACTTACTAGGCTATATATACGGAAAACATTTGTACAAGTGCATTTTCCCTCAGACTTCTTTATACATTTCGATTCTTTTTTTATGTTTTTTTTTTTCATTTTCACTCAAACTATAGAGACAGAATTTGCACCATTCTTCCGAAAAAATTACTGGAAGAAAAGTACAATTACATAAGACAAAATCCCTCTACTTTAAATTAAGTAAATTGTGCAATTTTTTATTTGGATTTTTCTGGGATGAAAAGAATCACCAACTGTGAGGACTTGGCTATTAGCAGTAGCAGAGTCCGAGGAATCTCCACGTAAATCCATCATCATTGTCGTCATCCATTGCTGAAATTCAGGGTCTCCAAGTCCATCCCAGAATTCATTTTCCTTACTATTACCAATTCCCATCGTCCAAACATCGTCATAGTAGTCCCCAGGATTTGAGTTTCTATTTCCCTCCTCTGCTTGCTCCAGCACGGACTCTGAGCGTTCCACTTCTAAATGCTCTGTTTGCGAATGCGCATCACTCTGTGAGTTATCGGGAAACGGGAAATTGAGCTTCGCTCGCGGACCGCGAAATTCAATCGCCGCATTATCGTATGCGCGTGCCGCTTCCTCCGCGGTATTGAACGTCCCCAACCAAACCCGGGTCGCCCTTCTCGGGTCTCGGATCTCGCGGCCCATTTTCCCCACGGCCTCTGTCGCACTCCTCTGTACTTCTTCTTTTTCGATGACGTCGTCGCCATCTTCTTTTTCCCTCCATTTTTCTTTTTCTCCTCTGGAAAAAATTTGCACCCTAAGCACCCTTCGATTTTGCATTCGCCGCAAGTCTCGAGGCTCATGGTCGGAACAATTCCGATTGGTGGCGACGTGGTGGTGGATACGGCATCGGAGTACTCAAAGGCAGGAGGAAATCGAATTTCTTGGATGAGATCGCTGGAGGTGGCGGCAGAGATAGTGCAGGTGGAACCGACGACGACATTGGTGAGTGCCTCAACGATGACGGAGTGTTCGTGGTCGCCGAAGAAGAAGTTAGGTGGCAGCTGAGTGGAAGTGGAGGTTATCGGAGTTCCGGCGAGCCTTGATCGCTTGGAGGAAGACATGTTTTTGTGTGCTGAGATGACAGTCAAACTGGGGAGTGTTTTGTTGCTTGTTGTGATCTTGGCGCGTTTTGGACGTGAGAGTGAAGATGGAGTTTGTTCATATAGGCTTCGGGGAGTGATGTGGCAGGGAGGTGCCAGCTGTACCCACGCCTGAACGCAATTCGCACACGGTTTTGAACGGGGATTAATTTTAATCACGTGCCCTAATTTGAAAGTGCAGGTGGATTCCAATGCTGCACCTGCAAGTATCTAATATCATTTGACACGAAGGTATTTGAAAATGAAAAGTACTTTACTTATTTTAATGTGCGCATATTAAAAATTATACTTATTGGCCATTATTATATGCTTCTTAAGTTATTTGTCACGTTTAGTTCTATTGACCAAGAAATTGCAGGTTGATATAATGATATTTATATCAAAAGTGATAAAAGAGTTTACACTTGTAAAAGAAAATATGATATTTAAATTCGGTGAATGATTTGAGTTCTTTCATTAAATGAATGTTTCATGTAATACATTAATAATTGTTTGATTGTATGCAAAGAGTTGTTAGAAATTTTATCATATAATATTAAAAAGTGCTATATTTTAAATTTTTCAAAGGAACGGTATATGTAAGAAATGTTTTGATCTTAATTGTTTTAAATTTTTAAAAAGAAAAGTATTTTAATAATTTTTAGATATTATTAAAAAACTAATAATTATAACTGAGACATTCATTATATGAGTTAATTTAGTCACTCATCAAATTTAAATATAAAAAATAGTGCTACTAGTTTAACATTTTATATGATTTTTATCAACTAAAAATATATATGCCATTGATGTTTTTTTTGTGATATCAAAAGTATTCTTCACAACAGAAGGAGAAAAACGAACTTAAAAAAGAGTAATAAATTCTAGCAAAAAATTGTAAGAAATTGAATTGGATAATTAATCATATTTAAATTTAAATTGAAAGGAGTGTTATAAATGTTTTTCTTAAACTTTGACCCTAAAAAGAAAGAAGAATCGTCTGGCGGATTCAAAATGGCGGAAGAGCGCGTAGAGTTTGTGTGCGCGTCGTCATTGATGATGATCCGAGAAAGGAGAGGAAAGTGAGAGTGCCAGACACCAAACAGCACGTCAGGACATTTGGGAAGCGGCGGATCGTCGATTCGAGGATTTATTTTTGAAAACATGGCAATAAAATTTCGTCAAAATTATAAAAACAATAATTTAATTCTTCAAAAGTCATAATTTTAACGAAGCCTTAATATTTTTATATCAATAAATTTTAAAAATGAAAATACATTTATTCTTATTAAAAATAGCAAGCTGTATTAAAAAAATTATAATATTTGTTTTATAAATTACAAAAATTAAATAAAAAATTATAATTTATTAAATATAAACAAGCTCTAATCACAACTGATTAAAGAATAATAATTTTTTTCTGTAAATCATAATATTCGAACAAGAAATCATAATTTATCAAGTATTATTTCTATTATTAAAAAATAAATTTTTAAAATAATAAACTTTATTCACAATTTTTATTTAAAAAATTATAACTTTTATTCAAAAAAATTATAAAAATTGAATAAGAAATCACATCTTATTAATAAAGGATAAAATAATCTTTTTAATTTTTAAATTTATTAATAAAAAGGTCTTTAAAGATTTTAATGTAATTATGATATTTTGAAGAGGTAGATTATTATTTATATAATTTGGAAAAAAATTATTGTCATTTTGTCCCACAAATTAGGAAATTGAAATTTTCAAGCGCATGAAGACTTCGTATGAACTCATTTTGACCAGAAGAAGAGCAAGTGGCTTTGCATTAACTAATAACAACTCATGAAGTCATGCATTTCTGGGCACCCACTCTGGGAATTGAAGTCACTGTCTGCATCCAAATCCCATGCACTTACAAAGGCCGTGTACTTTCGTACACCATCGCATGTAATTGACCTTCCTTGACTTGCAAAGCTAATTCAAAATACTCTTTTCTTTTAAAATTATATAAAATATTCTTAATTAGTTTTTATTTTTAAAAATAGTTAGTAATATTAAAAATGATTTACTTTTTCGTATTTACCCTTATTCAATAGGACAATTTAATCAAAAATAAATATAAAAATCTCCTTAATTTCAACACAAAGAGAATTTTCAAACACATTTTTTTATTGTTCATAGGTATTTTTTTATTGGAGGCACATTGAAATTTTGGTTCATCATATTATGAGAAACTAGCCTTTTTTTGCTAGACTCAGCACTTGTTGGTCTTAAACAAACTATATTATAGCCAGTAATTTGGGTGGATCAAGCTTATTTGAATTAGACTTATAGTATTCTATCCTTTTAAAAAAGCCTATATAGTCAAGCTCGGTCCCAACCTTTTTCAACCTGATTCAGGTTGATCCATCAAAATTGGCCAAAATTACCAACTTTATATATGTATAGAGTTTGAAATTCCAACGATTTGACTTATTCAGGTCAAGCTTTAAAATATCATACCCTCTTAAAAAATCTTATATAATCAAGTTGGGTCTTAACTTTTTTCAAGTAGATAATTACTAGCTCTAAAAGATGCTAAAATATCTTATATTTTTTAAATATGGTATTCTCTTTAATCCCGTATAAGTTACTTTTTAGAAGAAAATGATGTTCCATTTTATAAGTCACTTTGCATAAAAAGATGGACTATTAATTTATTTCAATTTTACCCATTTCACAATTTTTTTAGTATGGTAAGATGTTGCGTATGAGAAAAAAATGTTTCTAAAGATATTGCACTTAACAATGGTAAATTGAGAATTTTTTAGACAATTTCATTTACTTAACCACAGCTCCTTGGTTATGATAAGATAGTGAGAAGTGATATATGGATGTATATATGTATGTATGTATAAACCAAAGAAAGCATCTCTAAAAAAGGTTGTAAATTTGAAATATTTACTTATAAATTTATCAACTTTGACTATTGAATATTAAAATAATAATATTTTAATAAGGGTTAAAATGCAAATCCATCCCTAAACTTTTTCATGAGACGCAATTAATATCTTAAAGTTTTAAAAAGTGTAATGCTCCTTTATACTTTTAAAAGTAAAGCAATGTTGCTCAATTTTAATATATTCAATTTTTGACCATTAGTAGACTTTTTATGATTACATGACATGTCACATGGCATCCACTTCACTTGAATAACATCTACATTTGCTTTATTTCCCACGGGGAACATTACCTTTTTTTTTCCAATGTGCACCATTGATGGTGGACTTGTGTGGAAAATTGAACGAAATATAGGGGTCTGATAGTAAAGGGAGAATGAAATAGAGGGATGAAGACAATAAGTCAAGCATGCGTGGAGATGCCAAGGGTGAGTGAGTTCAAGGAGAGATGAGTGGTCGACGATGAAGGAGGATAAGTGTGGCTAACAGTGAAGGAGGGTGCGAGCTCAAGAGGCTGAGAGGCATGAGTGTTTTAGTCATAGTAGCCAACGCCCTTCAATGAACTTTCTACTTTTCATTTTCTTCTTCATCATCATGAGAATCATCTATAAAAGCTTCATAAACTCAAACCCGATCTATCATCACTGCTCACAACGTTACTTCCTCTATCCCTCACTCGTTCATCCCGTCACCTACAAGCTCCATCTATCTCTCTCGGCCCTTGCTCTCGATTATATATCCAGCAATGTCCCTCTCTCTGATCTTTCTCTCAAGTTCCAACTTCACCTTTCAATCCTTTAGTCTTTGACACCCACAGCTTAATCTTGCTCTCTATTCAAGGCCATGTTCTCCAATGTTACACCCCCATCACCATCATCTATAGCAACCTGATTTCTATTTGGAAATTTAATTGAGGAGAATGTGGATAATTAAGGTTTAATTGAGGGTCTAATGGTAGAACTAAGTTTGATTAAGGTTGTTAAGGTTGTTTAATTATTGAGACACTTAATTATAGTTTAAATTGGACCTAGGACTATGTATAAGGGTTAGTTAGTGTGTCAAATAGGTTGTTGCTGTCAATGGCTGTGGGGATATAATCTAATTAATAAAACTTTCAATACACATTTAAGATCTGTTAGTTTAATAATAAAGTTACACTAACTTTTTTACATATTAAGTTCTATTAATCTAAGTCTGGTTTAAGTTGAAAGACATCATACTCAAAGTGATTATCTTTTATGTAAATAACTCAAATAATAGTAGACCTTTGGAGATATATAGTGGAATGTTGTAATGTCACACCTTAAAATTTTAAAATGTGACCAGGCTGAAATACAAGAAAGCTTATATTTCATTTGTACAAACTCATATAATATCTAACATATTAATTACAATTTTATCATACAATCATCATTTATATTAAGAAAATGCTAATAGGAACAAAAAATTCAAGCCTGCTATAGAAATTTCATCAGAGTTTTCCCTGTATGTTGGACTTCCTAAAATCTCTACAATCTACTAAAAAAAATATCTAGACAGCATTTGGAGCTCTAATTTGATATAGTATAAATATACATACAAGCCAAAATTCTAAAAACAAAGATTATACTTATAGAATTTGTGGAGCAACTCTAGTATAAAAATAAAATGCTTTAATATTTACATTAATTCACAAGAAAGTCAGAGAAACAAAATGCTTCTTATCTCAAGGAATTTCACGAGATCTAATGAAAAGCAGATCCACTTCTATTATCTAAATCTTAAAAATTTTTTTCACTAAATAATGTCTCCAAGTATTAATAATAATAATAAATAAATAGATAGATATCATTGCCAATGATACCAAACAATTAATAGTATAATTTATCATCAGTCTCTTAAATTGATGGCAATAATAGTAAAGAGACAACAAAAAATCATAACTACAATATAAAACAAAAAAATGTATATTTTATTTAAACTTATAAAATATAATTCATCTTTTGGAAGTGAAAACATAACTTAAAAATATGTTCTTTATTAGGATTTCAACAGAACAAATATAGAAAGAAAGGAGAAAGAAGAATAAGCTCAGTCATCAGAACAAGAGTGACACAAATGGGGAAAGAAGGTCATTGATGTTGATGCAGCAACTGAAGATAGAAGAGGAGAAAGGACCGACGGTGTCAAAATAGAGAGGGAAGAAGCTGTAAGTTTAACAGGACCATCCGCAATAGTAAACAATTGGTGACCCAAACACCCTTACACAGGTGAACGGGAAGAGGAAAGGAGGGGGACAGAGGGAGAGCAAGAACGCACCTGAAGCTTTTGGACCCTTGGCACACATTTTCTTCCCCTCTCAGTCGGGGCACTGTGAGCAAGAATACATAAAATTGGAAGTGGGGAAAAATCTGATGTCATGTTATTTAGTTTATTATTATTGTTATTATTATATACATATTTATATATTATTATTTTTCAAGCTATTACATGTAATAATTGAGTAATGTGTTGAAATGATAAGGCTCACATTGCTCACATAAAATGAGCTCCAAAGGTATAAGTATCCAGGGAATGAAAATAGGCTAGTGAATAGTGAATAGGTTTGGAAGAAAAGTGAGCTTTTGAGTATGAGATATGCGAACGCATGACAATCGTGGTTGAAAACAGCTGATTCGCTACCCTATGCACGAGTTAATGTGGTATTGGGTTACATAAAAGCTTGCATGCAAACAAAAAAATTTGCACCAGCCTTCTAGTTTTTGGGCTCTCTCTCCTCCTCTCTGAAACTGCTTCACTGTTCTGTGTCCGAGTTTATTCCTACTAGTTTTTGTTATGTTCCCCTGACCATTTTGTAAGATAAGTCTGTTCAAGTTTAAAAAAAAGTTGTGCGACAAGTTTAGTATGGCAAGACGGCTCATTAGCATAATATCTTTTGATACGACTCAAATTTAAAATTACTAGCTGCTGCCAACATCATATTCATCAAATGAATGTGAGACATTCAAACTCGAGAAATTAAAATGAAAAGTTTCTGTTGCTTACCAATAGTGGCAGCGTCAATTTTTTTTTAAAAAAAAAGAATACATCCACCCATCACCCATTAATAGCAGTCGGCGGACCAATTCGCAGAGTTTTGCACGCAGAAAAAGACAAAGCCATCATATGTTCACGATACTCCGACCTGTTTATGAGATTGGGAAGACTATGTTCACGATACTCCGACCTGTTTATGAGATTGGGAAGACATGGACTTTCTTTTTTTATTCATTCACCTAAATGTTGAATTCATATATTATCATCACTTAATAGTAATTAGTAATTAGCGCACCTAGACGGCAAATTAAGGCACGTTCCAAAATATTATAGATCCATGCTGCACGCAAATTACGGTATATTGCTCAAAAGCATAAACCGAGGAAGTAGAATAACGGCAAAAATTTGCTTCTTCTTCTTCTTTTTTCCCCACTTAGTATTCTCTTGTCGCTGTTTATCGTTCAACAATCATCAACTTCCGACTAATCTAAGCAGGTTTGTTTGAAAGAAAACAATTATACAGGAGCCACTATCATTTATACAGCAGAAATGGAAGAAGCAGAATGTGCTGGACGGTCTTCCCACCTCCTTTTACCCAGTAACCAATGAAAAATTGAAACTAAATCTCCAGCCCTCTTCAAATGGCTGTATTGACCAACCCATATTCAAGAAATCTACAAACATGTCAAAGCAGCATCTGCAGAGCTAACATCAGCGATAGCAAAGTACACTCAAGATTGTCAGACAAAAATATTCATCTAATCGTCATTCTCTGAATCTGCACCAAAAAAAAAAAAAAGGAATTGAGGACCAACTTCAGCAAAATCAAAGATTATCAGAAGAAATAAGTGATTGAATTAAATCAGCTTATATTATTAACTTCCCATTGAATAAAAACAGGAAGGAATACAGGGTAGGAATTTTTAGAATGCTTCCTTGACCCTCACCTTGATCTAATTAAGCTCCCAAGATTACATTTCTTCCCTCACTTCAGAGCCATTTTATTTTATTATATATAGAGGCAAGAGGCTACTGGCATTCTCAAAATAATGGGGAACCATGCCCTATTCCGTAAGTTAGTTTTTGGACTCCCAGCAGCAGGCAAGCTGTTTCACCTTCCCCAGCCCCTACCCTTTTGTTTTCAAAAAATCACCTACTGTGGTTACTGGCCTATGTCAATATATTGCATATGATGTCAAAATACAATCTATAAATCCATATATAATTTAAAATCCATCGAAAACCGCACTATTCTTAAGTGAGAGACAATAAGACTCACATCAAATTTTATGAGAAGTGCAAGTTTTACTTTCAAGTTTAGTAAAACACAGAAGGCGAGGAGAATGATGATTTAAGAGGTAAGTCATCGTTAACCAACCATGAAGATTTGTAGAGTCGGATTTTAAATTTCAAACATTTGCATAAACTTGTATACTTCAAGCTCGTGATAAAAAAATTTCTCTACTTTTTTCACTATATGCGAAGGATGACAACGATAAAGGAAGACATCCAAAGCATACATTAATTTCTAAAGCAAAAAAAAAAAGACATATTGAATCTGAATTGAAGAAATTGATTCACCTGATCTTATATCCTCACCAACTTTTCCTCTATTTTTCAGTTGTCTCCAGATCATCGCACATATGAGAATCCACCAGTATATATGGAATACGAGCAGCATTATGAGCAATGTATTAAAGAGATAATACAGAAACCTGGGATAAACCTCTGAAAGGTTTAAGCATTCACGAATGTTATAGCTGGAAATAGAATAAAGTGTAAAGATGATTAGAAAGTGCAGCCAAGACAAAATGAAGTGAAATCAATTTACTAAAACTGAAAACACACCTCGACGCTTTAATAACCCAAAACGGATAGAAAATTAGCCGTAGTATTAACCATGAAATAGCAAAGCACCCAAAAAACACGCTTGCGAAAAACTCTCTTCCGGAGTACTTGAAAACCTTTGCAGCTTCCATGAATATGTCACTTGCATCATGGAGGGCAAGGACTATAGAGCCAATCCTGAAAAATCTGTAAAAGCAGCAACTGTCACTTATCTCTCCTGTATCTCTACCTCTGAGCTAATGCTAGTCTTGATATTTTGTTTATTTAAATCCATTTACCCATAATGCAAGACCTAGAAAAGACTAAAAAGAAACGGGAAAAAGAGCAGGAAGAAAACAATGCTTTACATAAAATAAGAGAATATCCCTGTTAATACCAAAATGCTTAGTTATTGATGATGATAATTTTACAATACCACTCAAAAATTACAAACTTAACGTTATACATATCTGGTGATCACGTAAAACTTCCACCTGGATTAAAAAGTTGCAACAACTACAAGTACAGGCTTCAGTATTCCGTGTTCTACACTGGTTATGTGGCATGAATAATCAGATGTGGAGATGCTTTTCAGTACAATCAAACATAACCCTCCATGTGACATGAATGAACATATACATGAAAGGATATGCCAGTACAATAAATAAAAAGAACACAACAAATGAAGTGCAGAACACTACAGTGGTAGCGTAGGGATAATTATTATCAATTTCAAACGACCTACAAATTAAGCATCCTGCCTCTCAGACAGAATTCTAATGGCAGGGACAGTTATAGACAATTTATAGAGCTGCTTCGAGTTGTGCTAAAAGAAAATCAACAATAGGCGTCCAACAAAAACCACCATGATAAATTGTTCAAGTATATGCACAAGTACATAAACTGATAAAAGAACTAAGTCACATGTAGTAATAGTAAAAAAAAAAAAAGTTAATTACCTTGTCACATATGAGGTTCCAATCAGGATAACAGTAATAATATGATGAGACATCATCACTGAAAAATCCTTCCTTCGAGTCTCCCACGTCAGAAGAGCAGCAATGCTGTAGAGGTAGAACCCACATTGGCACATGTAGAAAATCTTCAGTGGACTCCTGAAATGAGAAATACAGCAAGACGCCATATGATGATTAAAAACACAACTATAGTTGATCATCCTTTGAAATAAATACCAATCAATGACATTCAACCAGAAGAACGAAGGAATTTCTGATTGAAAGTCATTGATTGCTGTAAAACTGAAGTCAGTGAACTACACAAAATAGCCAGATGCATGTTTATTTAAAGAAAAGAGCCACATGTCTGCATACTGTTTTGACTACTCTTGGAATATCTGATTAGTCATATACTGAAATGCATCCACATCAAAATAACTATATGTGGGACCTGTAAGATGTTCAAACCAAAATCAGAATAACACCAAATCCTCACATTCCTATAACTTCCCTTAAACATCAACTCATCTCTACGATATTGCCATCCAAGTTGTTTGCTTTTTAACCCAAGTTTCCATATTATGCATTGTATGACAGCAGCATTGACAATTCAGTATAGAATAGACAAGATGACAGGCATAAAAATTTTTGTAGATCAAGAATATTAATGATGAAAGTGAAGGACAATGGGGATGTCTGCATACGAAAGTGAAAGATGAATCTCTTTTGGATATGGAATAAAACTTTTATTGCGGAGATGGATGTTTGTTCATCAAGCTACACTATAATTACTTACTTCAACTCTTGATTTGGCCAGCCATTGAAGTATAATTTTATATCTCTGAACCAGGGCTCATGGTAATTGAAATTAAGAACAAAAAATTCCACTGTAGCATAGTAGGCTAGTTTCCACATTGATTCTGAGCATTTGACAATCTTTGATTGTGTTGCCTTATTCATCCTTAAACGACCACGACCCTTGGTCAACAACTTGATGGCCAACCACTGTAAGCAACAAGCAACAAACAAAGGAATTAAAAGGCATTTGAATAAAGTTACATGGTTACATTATATTATGATTAAAAAATTCAACAATAGAAGAAAAATGAAAATAGCTTGCATAAATGTTTGTGCCACAGGCCACCAAGAAAATCCATACACACAACATGAAAGAAAGAAGCATTCAGAAAATTTCCAAGTTTCTATAAATATTGTTTTATCATCATTTGTCATGTGCATAGATAGAAAACATGGAACATGCAACCTCATAAGTCATTATGGGATTTTCCTAAAATATGGTGTTGGCTTGACTAAGAAAACATATGTTGAAAATGAAAGCCATTTGTTTAAGCCCTGCCACTATAAAGACAAAGATAGATACTTCTTTTAACTGAAATATATTCAGCTCACATTACCTTTCTCCATATATTGTGGGCTGGAAATATTCTTCTTTAGCCCTTTTTATCAACAAAGGTGCACTTTTTCTTTTTTGCTCTTTGGTTTATTCAAAAGATAAAAACTAAAGTCTACAAACCAAAAAAATTGCATGTGTTACTCAAGCTAAGAAAAGATGAAAACGTTAAACAACCAAACCATTGTCATTCCTGAAAAGAAGAGGGGCCAAACCGGAAATATTAAGAGATGGGGGTGAGTGAAAAGAAAGATCCACTAATTCAACAACCACAATGTTGGAAACTGGCATTTCAAAAGTGTGAGGAACAATAAAATCAACAACTATTCACAGACAACGGAAAGAACAGAACAAGTATACTATCCTAGAAAAGCTAAGAACATTTTTTACACGTAGAAGGAGTAAAACAAGAATGGGAAGGGCTCGAAATCTACATAGAGTGGATATGCTCACTCCTATCAACATAAGAGGAATTTGAAATTCATATGGACTTTTGAACTTGTTCAATAACAAGTTTGACACGATCTGGTGGGTAACTGCATTAATGCCTGCAACCAAAGGTGCTAACCAAGAAACCCTATCAGAATAATCGTCATATGTACTGTTGAATAGTAACATAATTCCTATTAGCTACTGCATTCAGAATATAATTATCTTCAGACTTGACGATGTTTAGCTACAGTAGACTGACGATACGTCAATGTTATCCGGGAACAAATGCGATCAGCTTCCAATATGATTCCTATCCCTAATGTCTGTCTTTTTTTGTTGTCTTTCCTGATACTAGCATGTTGCTCTGTCTTGAAATCTGCATAAATTAAAGCGTTGATATCCTTCCATATAGGATAATCTTCTAGCATTGTTGTGTCAATCCGGATAAGATGATAATTTCTTGAGTCCAACATGTTTCAATGAAAAAACATGTCCACTATAACTCTGTAAGAATTCTATCTTCTTTAACGGTATAAAAGAAAGTTGCATAACAAAGTGTCACCCAAACCTTCCGGATGTAACAGTCATTTACAGCTTCCAGGCCTTTACATGGCTCACGCTAACCTCTCACTGGCTAACAGTAATGAAGCAGCCGAAAATATAAAGAAATTACTGAACAATGAACATGAGAAGAATGACCGGTTCTATAGAGTAGTTGACAGGTCTACTTAAAGATCCTTAAACCGCCGGCTTAATTCGATTAAACTCTAAGAAACTGCAACTCTTGCTTGCAGGAATTCATGTGGATAAAAGGAAAGGAATAAAAGAAACAATAGGAAGAAGAGCTAAGGTTCTCGATGGAAAACGCAAGAAGCAAGATATGATCCACCACATTAAGACATTTAAAAAGAAAATGCCCATGTGGAATTCAAAATGTTCAAAATACATGGAAAAACAGAAAGAATCAAGAACAGAGTTGTTCAGGCAATGGGAGAAACTAGTTCCAAGAATCCAATAGAGCTCGGGACGTCGAAAACGAAAGAAACTTACTCTGAAGATGTATCTGTCTAGAAAGATTCTTGCCACAACGAAGCCAATGGCAAAATAGATCGCGATGTGGAAATGCCAAGCGCTTGGTCTGCCATTATGAGTCGAAATGGAATCCATGCGATACTAGAGCTGGAACCAGAGCTAGAGGAAGACCACTTCAATCGGGAATTGAACTAGTGGCGAAGATCAGCCATTGAAACGAAGGATTCTCATGGAATCGACTTTTGAGAGATCTAATTTGCCCTAATTCGCAGAGGGAAGGAGGAGAGAGAAGAATTTGTGACGCTGGTAACAGAATGCAGAGAGAGAAAAAGAGAGAAGAAAGGAGGGAAAGAGAGAAAGAGAAAGTGTGTGCGAGTGAAGGAGGTTGCAACGGAAATGGCGAGGGTTGGGGTTAATGATCTTCTCCGCTTTATTTATTTCTCCGAATATCTTTGAATCTCAAACTTACTTCGAGCGGCCGATATGTGGGTCCCGCTTTTCTTATTACACGTGGCAATTACTTGCCCGTGGGCTTAGCATCGTTGTTTGAGCTTCCGGTTCCCACCAACTGTTTCATGAATTTCCTTCATGACATAGTATGACATTGTATAAAGTTATAAACCAATTGTGATCAGACATCCGGTTGCTTCATTAACAATAATAATAAAAATTATTTCACCTCAATTACAATATAAAACACCTTCTAAAAACATTACTTAATTTAAAATATAAAATATTAAATAACTTTTATAATTATTTTTTTATCATATTTATTTATTTATTATTTTTTTAAAAAAATTCATACATTAAAATTTTAATTATTATTATCAATACTTTTATATAAAATAAATAATGAAGGTTTGATTTAAAGGATATAAATTTTTTTAAAAAAAATTAAAATTTTAATTAATATTTTTAAATCATAAATTAATTGTTAATATTTTATATTTTAATTCGGAGTGAGTGTACATACATATTGCGATTAAACAGTTCAGATATAGAGGTTTAGAAACATTTTAAAACCACAGTTTGACTTTTCTATGAGATATATATATATATATATAGATACATGCAATGTTACTCTGATTTAATTTATAGAGAGAATCATAATTAATTTTCAAAAGAAAAAACTAATAGTAGTTAGCTTCTTGATAATTTTTTTTTAAATCAGTTATGAATATCATATAAACAATTACAAATTTAAAATTATTTATTATAAATATGATATTTAAATTTTAAATATAACAATTAGTTTGCAATTCAAATTTTTATTTATAATTATTCAATTGATACTTACAATTTATTCTATAAAAAATTTTATTGAGAATTTAATTATCATTAATGTATCTTTTTCAAACTTTATTGTTATTCTTCCTAATTTATAAGATATTTTTATAAAATTATATGCATAAATGAAGTTTGTTAAATATAGTTTATAGTTTTAATTTGTCTATAAAATTTTAAAAATATCCTTGATTAATAAGAAAAAGAGGAAAATAAATTTATTTAAAGGGTAGTAAAATTATGATTTGGTATTAACAAAAATTTTTTTTTAAAATATCTTTATTTTGAAATACTAGATTACTTTTAAACATGTTTTATAAAATGATACAAAAGGAGCACTATGTATTTGAATTTTCTTCTTAGAAAAGTATTTAACATGAGAATTTTCTAAAATAATGTGTCAATCTCGTTATTCTTGAATGAAACGAGATATTATATAATGTTTGAGTTCTCCACCTTGCTTCTTTCACTCAATGAAAACCATACATCGGATGTCTTTGGATATATATGTTATTATAGTGCAGTGATAATAATTATACAAGCTGTGAAAAAATGATTGACTGAGATTAGATCAACTGTACAAAATACGCATGTGTGTGTGTGTGAAATACATTACAGGTTTGTGATAATGATTGAGTTGTGCTGGTGAATAAATTAAATAGGTTACGCAAAGAAGATATAGGAAGCCAAAGGCACGCGGGCTGTAGAGTGGCGTGTAAGTGATTGTGGGTTGTGTTGACATCATAGCTAATCATACTTGGAGTCATGGTTGAAATGTCTATACATGAATAATGAATGGTGTATATTGACAATGAGACATTTTTCTCCTTTTTTTTTTTTTGGATAGACAGATGAAGCTTGGGAGAGTTAAGATACAATCATATAGACGCTAGAGCATGGACTCATTCAGTTTGTGCGTGTAATTATTTTTTAGAACACACACTTGCACGCGAACAAACATATTAGTATTGGATTTAAACTGATCAAGACCGTTTTCAAAACGAAAGAAGTGGTACATTACTAGAATAATTTGTCGCTGCATGTTGACAACATTTAACATTTATTAATGTAATGTAAATATCAATGAATGATATCTAAAATCATTTAATATAACGTAAGAACTTGTAACAAGTAAATATTAACAATTAACAAGTGAAAATTTAAATTTTGAAAGTATTACTCCAAATCATTATATAATAAATCATTTTAGTGATCATCCATTGATATTCTCCCAAAAATTTATATTTAGAAATAGATGGAGTTATTTTTTCAGTTAATATTCCCTGTGATTTTATTTATGGATGGAGAGAGAATTTTTTTTTTGTTATATATATATATAAGTTACATTATTAAATTTTTATCACAATTTTTTTTTATCCTTCATTAAATATTAAAGAGAGAAAATATATTATTAAGATATATATATTTAATAAGTATAAAGCTAAAAATTTATTAAATTTTTAGATAAAATTAATAAGTTTTAAATTTTTTTAATTTTAATAAAATATATTAAAAGTGATTGTGGAATCCGCGGTGAAGAGTAATTCTCCGTTTTCCGCTTGTATTAATTGAGCCAATGATAGTCGTACTATAACTGCTCAATCTCTACCAAACACTTAGCAGTTAAGATAACTTGTAGGGCACACTGAGTCACTGACAAGGCCATCTCTGTATACTTCCTTGAAGGCAAAGGCAACCAGCTAAGGCTCGATTTAAATGTTTTGTTAAATTATTATTTTTCAAAAATATTTTTCAGCATCGGAGTTGGAAAAAATTCCCCATACTCGCAGAGTCGCATTCCATTTCATTCTCTCCTGATTTCTGAACCGCGCGCTCCAAAACAAGCACCTTGCATATTCTGGTCAAACACGTGTAATGTTACTGTACTACAGGTCATTTTTAAATATAAACAAATTTTAATCAATTTACATAATTTAAAAAATTAATTAATTCTAATGACTATGTCTAAAATTAAAAAATTTGGATTAAAATGTCATTATGATTAATCCTTCATTTTCCAAATTTAATGATTCTATCATTTAATGAAGGACAGTTTAATAAATATGTCATAAATTTTCTTTAAAATGGTTATTTTGCTTATAAAAAACTATATATGAAAAAATTGCTTGTATTTAAGAAGGGAAGAAGTATATTTCAATGACCTTAACAAACAAAATCACACAGCGCATTCTTCTCTTGATGATATTTCAAGTTTTACTCATAGAATTATTCAATAGAGTTGAAAAGTTCCCCATTCCCATTTCTTTTCGCTTCTTTGACTGCAAAAACTTACAAACAAGCATTAAACTTTGACCAAATCATAACGCGTCCATTCCTATGCCGGTGTGTACTATTCAAATTAGTTTTTTTTAATATATATATATATATATATATATATGTACATATCCATAAATTGCAACTTAAGCCAAAAAACATTGAGAGCAATGAGAATTGCTTGCCGTTACAAGTATAAACGACTATCAACTGAATGGGGCATTAGTTTACTGCACCGATTGGATTCAGCTAATATTGCCTTTTTTTTTGTATTTTATTTTCAAAAAAAAATAACACGAGTGAGAATAAATAGTTGGATTTCCGGGTGAAAAATAAACGGAAGGTTCAGGAATCAGGACTTTGCTTAATAGATTAGTCCAGGGTATACTGGGCCAAAGGCCCAGTAACTTTTTGTGGGCATATTGGAGACCTAAGCCTATGAGTCAAGTAGCAAAATGACGTGACGAAAATTTATTTCTTCAAATCCAATTTCTCTAATGGCTGATATTGATGGTTTTTCAAGTCCCATGCAAAATAAAATTCAAATTCAAGTCTAACTAGCAAGAGGAAAATTCCTACACAAGAAAAACTTGTGTATGAAAAAATGAGTATGTATACGTGCATGTAGAAGAGAGTCGTGAATTTTTTTTTTGCATGAGAGTGCCGCAGCGAACAGTCTTCTAGAGATTTGCCCTCCCCACCTCTCTCTCTCTCTATGTGCGCGTGTGTGTTAATGGATATTGGATTTGGGGCGTGTGAGGGGGTATTCTTAGGTGAATTTGGCAACGACTTAGGAATGTTGAAGATCTTTGATGCGATGAAGCTTTTCTCCAATCAATCTAGTGACAGTTTAGTGGTAATGTTTAGAATTCTTCTGAAATCAAAGCATCCTGCTAGCATCACTGAACCAGAGGACCTTCGATGTTTGGCTCCTAATTGTGAGAGGATGAGTAATAGTTTGGATTTTAATTGTTCGAGACTAACGACTATGGTAATGGAGTTGGTGTCAGGGTTGAAAAGCTTTGAAACTTTAATGATGAAAGGGTCTATCATGATACAAGGGATTGCTTTGTTGGTAAGCTCGTTAAACTGTTATGAAAGAGTGGTTGGAAGAAAATTGGCAACACGAACGTGGAAGGATGATGTGAAAGAGATTTTAGAAGAGGTGGTCGGACTACCAAAGGTAGAGAAGAGGCTCAGTGAATTTAAGGACCTAAATGTAAGAAATTGGTGAGGCATGTCTCTAAGTTTGTTGAAGAATAATAAGTTATGTTGCCTATTCAAATGCCTCAAATTCTTTATACATGTTAACTTTTTTAAATCTAATTATTACATTTTGTTGTTTGCAGATATGATCTAGTATAAGTTAAAGGAAGCCATGCTC